AAATTTTAAAATTTGTTTAAATTATAGTGCATAAACTATATATTAAGTAATGGTGCATAAATCATGAATTATTTAACACTATCAATCAGGGTCCAAAGTAACACTCCACAATCAAATATTTGAATGCATCTTCATCAAAATACATGAATATTCACACTAAATGAAACAAAACTATAAATTACCTCACTTTATTTGGGGTCATAACTGATACCAAATGAATTATAAACGATTTTTCATAGATTCTGGATTTTTGAATTATAGCTGAAGGATTATAGACCTTAACATGATTGTGTCATTATTTCATGTCTGACCACTTAGGTTTTACTTGATCAAAATGGCTCTTTACCATTATATCCCCAGTAATGTGTCTAGCATGTAGCAGGTACTCAGTAAATTGATAGAATTAATGAATGAAAGAACTGATTTTATACTAGGGTGAGCTTGTCAAGGGAAAGGACTGTGTCCTTTTCAGTCGCCATCCCCAGCACCAAGGCCAGTGCTGGCACATGGTGACTGCTCAGTGAAGGCTCGTTGAGTCAAATCACACTTCGCAAATCTCTCACAATACCCACAATACTAAGTATTCATAAACACTTTACAACTGATACTAACATCACTGACTTACAAAATCAGATTGAGTCCCAGAGGAGAGGAAACACAGGGTGGGGAGTATGAAGGAAGCAGGAGGAGAAGGAGCCTAGACACGGTGACACACTTGTAAGAATGCAGATTCATATTTCACAAAGCCTTGGTCTATGCCAGCGGGATGCCCATACACCTTAGGAACATGGGACCATTTTTCTTAATGTCACATATTCTGACAACAACCTATTCCCTGGGCCCTGCATGACGTATAGACCTTAACATCATGTAAGTATTTGTAAAAACGTTGCCTTATTCTGCCCCTCGTCTGGGTAGTTTTAGGCTTCTATAGAGCCCAGCTAAAAGCTCACAACGTAGATACTGCCAGCCGGCATTCTGTACCTAAACTGAACTTTTCCAAATTGGAGGTTCTAAATGGAATACTTTGTTAATTTATCAATTATGTACATGGTTTTTTAATAAGGAATGTCTAAGAGCATGGATTAGCTGGAAGCAATCATTGTTTGGGCCAATTACTTTGTCCTCTGCGTGTCCTTATAAGTAAACACGATACTATTACTTACCTCACGGTGGGGTGATGAAGGTAAAGAATACAGAATATAAAAGCTTCTCAGACAGGACCATATGGTCACTAGAAATAATAGTCACCGTCAGTGTAAGACAAGTGAATCCTAGAAGTCCTTAAATTAGTTCTGCAAAAACAATATTTACACTAATTATTGTTGATATTGGCCACAAAGTAACAACTTGCATTTACATAGTACTCTTACTTTTTAAAATGTCTTGATTTGTTAGAAAACTTGATCGCCAAACTATCTTTGTAAGTAAATAAAACGTATAATCCCAAGTAAAGGTGAAGAAATTCCAGCCAAACGATAGAGTGACACTAAGTTCAGGTCTCATTTCCTGGAGTACATTATTGATTCTTCACACCCAGGTTGGCCCCAGCACCTTAGCACTTACTCAACTCTCCCTTAACAACATTCCATGCCTTCCACCAGCTTGATGTTGGTCAGTTCCAATGACCTTGCAAAGTACTGCCATCTTTAGTAAACCTCAAAACCACCATCCCTTCCCTTTTCTCACAGAGATGATGTTTCAAACAACAAGAACCATGTGATAAACTCTGACCTCACTGCTCTTTAAGGAGCTTAAATATACGTTGTCAACCCACAGTTACCACCTCCCACTCTGTACCTTGTTATCAGGAGAGGGGGAAATACAAGTAGTTTCTATACTTATTTCACTTAGGCACCAATAGCATGATATAAAAACTGATTTATAGATGTAATCTGTATCAGTGGAACATATATACATAGTCATATGTACATATATACTATACTAGCTTTAATAATATAGTATATAATAACATAGCTTTATATATGAAAATAAAATTTTATACTATATAATAATAATAATATAGTTTTTAAAGCTTATATGTATATGTATGCCTATGTGCCTAAACACATATTTACATATAATATACATATCTTATTATCACTAAAACTAAAGCTTCATCTATGAAATGAAGATCAAATAATAGCTAATACTTCATGAAGCCATTGTACGACTGAGTGAATACATGTTAAACACTTAAAACAGTCCCTAAAACATAATACACACTCAATAAATATTATGTATCATTAAAATTGTTTATTTTACATATTATAAAAGGATTCCTCATTTGTAAACATTATTCACTAGTGTCTTAAATGTTTAGTTTCTTCAATGCGCAAATTTTTTAAATTTATATCTATTTTCCAATCCTATTTTCAGAAACATACTTTTTCAATAAAGTGGCTTATTATATTCCTTAGAAGATAATTATAGTACATGGAAATAAATGCACAATAAGTCAAATCACATACCTCTGAAGAAGTAAAAGCAAGTTAGAATTCAGAACCTTAGCAGCAATTATTTTACGCTATAGGACTTCATTCAGTTCCCCAATGATGGTACTATAAACACATTTCCTAAAATTTTAATCCCTCCTCAATTATAACTGTGTAATTCAGCACTTTTTTCAGAAACAGTGGGAAAGATTTAACTATGTTCCCCTTGGTGCATTTGTGTCTTAAGTTCCAGTACAAAAGTAGCCATCATTCAGAAGGACTTGAATATAGCCCATGACAATGACAGTCAAAGCTGAAAATGCTCCTCATCCATCACTACGCGTGGTCAGGGCTGGACCAATTAACCTCCCAACCATGTGCCTGCACCCAAAAGGAAGAAAAATAACCAGAGACAGCCCTTTACATTCCACCAAGGGAGAATGGGTTCCCAGAGATGCTTACTAAGAGCTGCTTTCTTTAGTCTTGATTCTTCACTTCTCTGAAAAGAAATCCTTCCCTTGAACCGTTCCAGTGTACATGAATTCTGGTATATTTAGAATAGAGTTTTGAGCAATGATTTCTCAAGTGTCTTCCCCAAGATGCTAGTGTGGCAAGATAGACATATATATGTATACACTCACACAAACACACACATATATTAGGGTCCCCTGAGCAAACCAGAGTGGGAAGCACTGGGCTAAACAGGTCATCAGATTTTTTATAGTGGAATTTCTCAGGATCCTTAATATGTTACTATGACTATAAAAAAGAGCATGCGTATTTACCTATAGAGTCTCCATCTCACAAGGCATCTAATTCCAGTGTTCAAAGGACACACTTTGGGCAACCACTTTAGAATAGGGTATACCACATGTTTTACATCTTCTGCTTATATCCCTTTTCTCACTTCTGAATAAAATTAATTCTTCTGCATTGTATTTTCAATAAATTCACTATTTTGCTCTTCAACAGCTGAGGGAATCCATTTGCTGTAACAAAAACATTTTCTGTTCCTGGAAATGAACATTACAAATTTTTGGTTAATTGTCTCAGAATCATTTAAAACAATGACTTCTTGATCTTAAAACAAATCAGTTGAGCTAATTCATGACTGAAGCACAAATTAAAATCAAAACTTTACGTAAACCCATGAGTTTACCCACACACTTCTCTCTAACCAAGTGGCATGAAGTTGAACTTAGGGTTGCTACGTGAACTCTGGTGAACAGATGCTATTTACCCTCAGGAAACCATTGATTACCTGTACAGTCTCTGATAATAAGATCCTGTTAATAAGTAAATAAAAATGAAAGCATAAATTATAAAAAGGAAAGCTCTAAAGCTTGGGGATACCATTTTTCTTTAAAGTGCATTATTCCTAGGGAATGTTAATAGTCAAAGAAATCAAATTCATCCTCAACGAACTAAACAAGACTCCTAAACATTAAGCGGTTGCTAGTTATAACACTCCATTCCTATCGAAACTTTGAGACTTAAATTTGGACTTTGATAAGTCTTAAATGCAGGCATACTAGATACACATTATTCTGAACGAAAGGGAGGAAATGCAGTAGGATTTTACAAACTCCATGCATCAAAGTGAATCCAAGCCTTTGGGAGAGTTGCAAGGAACTTGAGAGCAAAGCTGAGGATAGATGTACTGGTCGCACTGATAGGTGCTTCCCTTTCAATGTTGAAAAGAAAAAGAAAAAAAACACGAAACCCCAAAGATTATTTGAAGTTAATCTGCCTTGCATCACTATGAGAAACTATGGTCAGCCTAACCAAGATAAAAATTAAAATAATGTCTAAAATGACCCTTTTGATGAAATATTGCCTAAACTGCTCCAGGTTTTCTATTACCAATCAGAAAATTCAGTATCTCTTTGGCATTACTTTTAGTTCCAAGTGTTTCGGGACCTTAAAGGAGGTCCAGCTTCGGATTTCTGACATAAAAACCTTAATAGAGCCTGAAGAATTCCCCTAAGCACATCAGGAGTAATCGAATTTCACATGAACTATTAAATTACAGACATTCAATTATGTTTTCCAAACCTCTGTTTAGAAATTCAAAAGGCCCTTAGAAAACATCCTCAAACCAAAGCTCGAGTTGGCAAGTGAAACCGTTTACCTGTGAGGGCAAAACAAAGAGGGATCCTCGCAATCCCCGCAGGCACGTTGCGAAGTGGCACGCGAGGTGCCCCATCCCTATTGTAAGGTACAAATTCTTTGTGACACTGGGAGACACCGCGGAACAAAAATACTATTAGAAATGCTTCAAAAGGAACATTTTTTGGCTGCGAGAGAGACTTTTGACATTATTTATTAGGTTCAAAACTGCTTCACAAAAGCCTAACAATGGTTCTGTGGAAACCAGTACATCTGAGGCCCTGCTGTTGTTCGGCGCGGGCATTGATTTGGAGGCGCGCAGCCCTCGCGGAACAATCCCCGCGCAGCGGTCAGCGCAAGTGAGCATTCAGCGCGGCCTGGGGGCGCCTGCGAACAGGCCGCGTGGAGACGCCGGGGTGGACGGCAGCGGGGAGAAGAGCAAGCCTCGATTAACCTCTACGAGGGGAGCCGGGGGGAGCACTGGCGAGCGGAGCAGGGCGCTCCTGCCCGATGATCGCCGTGGGCCGCGGCGTCTGCCTGCGCCCCCTTCTCGCCGCGGGCTGAGGATGCTTGGGGAGCATCTCGGGCGCCCTGGCAACTGCGCCCCTGCCGACGGCATTTCCCGCCGCGGGGAGCTGGGTGTGCCCGTGTGCCCCCTGAGCCTGCAGTCCGGGCCTCCAGTCGGGCTCGGAGGGCTCCGGGGGACCCGGGAGCGGGCCTGGGGAGGCGGGCTCTGCCCGCAGAGGCCCGTGGCGGTAGGGCCCGGGCGGCCCGGGAGGCGCAGGCAGGGGAGGCGCTCAGTGGGCGCAATGCTCGCCCCGCCGGGACTTCTGGAAAAGCCTCTCCAGACATCCTGACAACTGAGTGTTTGAAAATTCAACATGTGCAATGTTCTGGCAGAGACAAGAGGCAGCCCTGGACAACAGCCCCACGTGCTTCCCCACGTTTCTTTAAGAAAATACAATGCTAATTCCTTTCCTGTTGTTTGAAAGCACTTCCCCCGCCAAAATAATGCCACGGAATCCTCATAAAGCGTTTTACTAAAAGGAAAACCCTTCCAAACTTCTAAAGAGAAAGAAATAGGTGACTTGGTGGCTAAAATAAGGCCTCAAATTCTAAATCTGGGAAATTTTGTGACTGGCAAATTAAGTGGAATTAATTAATTCCAGGCAAAAACAAAGGGATCCACCGCCCACTTAGACTTAACAACGGATCATTTAAATATCCAAGAGGCAATTATTTCATAAGCTTTATTAATTTTGAACCAGCTGAAAATTAGAACAGTGAATCAATTTGATGGTGGGCCCACACAACACATGCATACACTAATACTAATAATAGATTTGATTTTTTTCTTTCTTTTCCCAACCAAATAGCTTTTTAATGTAAAAGATAAGGGTTTTTTTCTTTACAATAATAACAGCCAATACTGTAAAAGAAAAAGATGTGTGTATATATGTATATATACACATTCATGCATGTGTATATATATCATATACAATCTTCAAGTTTTTGCCTGGGAAATTCTGCCCATTGACCTACATAAAGTCTAATTCTTCAGTAGTTAATTCAGGCAGTTTATGTGCTTTAAATAACTTTCTACAAGTTTTTAAAAGGCTTTAAACAGCATGTAGATATCTAAAATATTTTAAAACGACCTGTAGGATCATTTGCAAAGTCAAAAAATATGTGAAAGATTTTAAATGCCTGGCACCTTCCTAACAGTGATGTCAAACAGTCTATCTCTAGGTAATTAAATTAGTTCATCACATACTATGCCCAGTATTTATTAGGCATCTCCTACCACACATTCAACCCACGCAAATCAATAGTGAAAAATTTTTAATGAATTTGATTTCTCCAATGTGAGAATTATTTCCTAGATTTCAGTATCTCCAAGTAAATAAAAGCTTTCAGAGAGTGAAACACATTGTTTTGTGAAAACTAGATGTTTAATAGCTATTTGTTGATTTGGATTTCCAGCATCTGCAGGTGACCAACTCACTATCATCAATAATCAGGGCAAGAACATTCCATCAGAGAACATGGATATGGCTCTGGAATTGGAGCAATAGAATATGACATAGATAAGTCAAGACAGGTCAAGGGTCTGTCATGAGCCAAAGAATAGGACTTGCTTCCCTGAATGCAATTCGGTAATGATGCATTTCATAAGAAACTGTCTTAGAGGGGCAGTGTGATATAATGGAATAAATAGGGTTTTGAGGTCAAACCATCATAGATTCAAATCCTGGCACATCACCTGGCCTAAGCTTCTTTGTCCTTACCTAAACCATGAAGATTGTATTACCTACTTTGCAGGGCTGCTAATGGGATTAAGTTTGTTCATTCATTTATTTGATCATTAATATTTGAATGTCTGTTACATGCCTGCCAGTATTCTAGACATTGGAGATACAGAAAAGAAAAAGCAAGAGCCCTACGCTTCTAGTTCAAAGAAAGTTCTTTGAACTCTGTATTGAGTAAAAATCTTTGTAAGGAGTAAAATTGGGTCTCTCTCTTCAATTGGTCAGTTCCTACAAACATATGGAGAAAATCTAACAAAAAAGTTCCCTTAAAAAAAAAGCTACATAAAATTAGTCTACTCCTTCTTCTACATAACACTATCTAGAATATTAGGAATATACATTGTTTCCTTTCATTTCCTTACCTGCCTGAACAACAGCAGGAAAACCTCACCATCACCACCAGCCCCATTCAGTCCCTGCTCTGTTTAGGAGCTTTATTTACATGAATCCTCTAATTACAGCTCTTCAAGGTAGTAATTGTCTTTAGTTTACATTTGAAAACGCTGGGCTCAAAGAACATTTATGGAATTTGATCACAGCCTCAGAACTGAAACAAGAGAAAGTAGAGATTTGAGTCCAGGTCTTCCTGGGTCCAAAGCTTATTTCTTCTGGTCCATCTACTTAACTTTAAATCTTTCTATTAGAGCCAATGTGTTCGGCTCTCTGAAATCTTTAATTTGCCTATTTACTAGTCCTCCTATTAGTGATTTTGAGGCACATCATTATACATTATCCTGTACTATGAATTCACAGCGTCCTTATCTGTAAAATGGGGATAACTACATTAGTGCCTAAGAGTGTCATACAAGGATTTCATAATAAAATAATGTGAAGTGCTCAGCACAGTATTTGCCTAATGGTGAAAGCCTAATAAATGGAAGTCAGCAATATGATGATGAGGATAATTGTCACTATCATTATTATCTGGTACAATACCTGAGTCACAAAATTACTTATCATCAAGTCACAGTTAGTGTTTCCTCCAATACAGGAACTTGGCAACAAATAGATTCCGATAAGGACTGACTGATACAGATCTGACAGAATCTGCCATTGAATATGTTTGCTGTCTATTTCGGAGTTAAAATTAAAATGTGATCAATTGAAAAGAGGAAAAAAAGACTTAGGAACCACAAAGTACTTCTTACCAGGTGGGACAGAATCTCCCTTGGAATAGTGAGAGGGCTGGTTCTGAAGTCTCACGTGTCTGTTGATGTGTATGCCTCCAGCCTCCAGGTGCACCAGATTTACTGAGTGGAATTGAATAGGCTTTCTTGTCACTTGCCAATCCAAAAATTGACTGCTCCAAGCCTGAGTGGGTGCTCCTCTAGCTCCCATATTAATTTCTTTTCTGACAGTGAAGATCAGTGGGGTCTCATCCCATTCACCGGATGGTGTCCGGAAGGGACTGGCTTCTCCACGGCTTTCTTCTTCAACGGAAGCCACACTTACAGCAGGAGACCTGGGGATAGTGTACTGGTGAGCACAAAGCAGACTTTTACATGCCATTGGAGTCTGAATCCTTTCTGGAAATACTGTAAAAACATATTAGTTTGCAAAAATGCATTTCAGTATCGATAACCTACTACATCAATGGCATAAAGGATGAAATCCAGCAATATACGGATTTTTTGTTTGTTTCTTATTTCCATCTTGAGCAAACAGAAATGAAAAGGAAGCCAAGGATCTGAGTGCCTGAGTGAGAGAAATACAGGAAGGTAAAAATGCGGAAAGAGAGGAAAAAACTGCACATGCTTTTTTTGCCTTTAAACTATGCTGCAGGCACGGTGTGAGGGCCTGGACATGTTGGTCATTTAGTTCTTGCAAGAACTATACCTAACAGATGCTATTATTATCTCCATTTTACAAGTCAGAATGCTAGTTTGAGGTTTAACGGTTGAATTGTGTCCCCCAAGAAGTTAGGTTGAAGTCTTAAATCCTCTGCACCTGTGAATATGACCTTATTTGGAAAACAGGGTCTTGGCGATGTAATCAAGTTAAGATGAAGTCATGAAGGTAAAGCCTTAAGCCAATATGACCGGTTTACTAAAAGAAATAAAAAGAGTCAGAGACACACAGGAAGAATGCCATGTGATGACAGAGGAAGCGATTGGAGGGACGTATCCACAAGTCAGGGTACCACAAGAATTACAGCAACCACCAGAAACTAAGAGAAACGTGGAAAATGGGGTCTCAAACCTCCACCAGATACCAATCTTACTGACACCTGGATTTCTGACTTCTGGCCTCCAGAACAGTGAAAAAGTAATTTTATGGTAAGCCATCCAGTTTGTGCTTCTTTGTTATAGTAGTCTTAGGAAACTAATGTACCCACAATGGTTCCAATGAATGCATGTTGTCACAGGGTAATTATTTACAGCAGCCCTTTTCACTCAAAATAAAAAAAGAAGAATGCTCAGACTTGGGAGATATAAAAGGGGAAAAGCCAGGAGGTAAGAAGGCATAGAATGACAGGAGAGAGGGAGCTGATTTCCCGAATTCTACTATGTGGCAGAAATTGTGCCAGGATGCAGTAACTCTTAACAAGACTCTATTCCCTGTGCTCAAGGGGCAGTCAGGTGGCAAAGAGGATGCTGGCCATGTTAGTTAGGTACCAGGACACACTCTTCCTTAACTACAACCATGCTTGTAGAAGGGGGAATCAAACCAAATACCTCCAAGGGACACACAGATAGCAGAAATGAGAGAAGAGGTCAAGCAGGGGTACCCTGGAGTGTATGTCCCATCAGCAGGGGCCAGCAACTTCTCAGATCTTGTCCCTTATTGCCATGAGAGGAGGTGGGCCCAGTGTAGACAGATTTTACTGGATTTTCAGGAGAAGCAGAAATACATATCTTTATATATGTAAAAACTTCTCATCTTTAACTATTGAGAACTCACTCAATTATTTTTTTTTTGTAAATACAATGTGGGATACACAAAGCACATCTTCTCTCTGAATCACCACAATCCACCAATTTGTATCTTTGACCTATGGCAAGCCCTATAAAAGTCACATGGTCATTTACCTCCATTCATACTCCCATCATCTAGAACATGATTTTACAGACATTCAGCTAGGAACCATAGGAATGTGTTTGAAAGTTCTGTTCAGAAGCAGATTTTAGAGTTCTAGACATCTTGTCTACCTCCAACACGTTAAGAAGATTTACCTTTTATTGTTCATTTTAATTGATTGTTCCATTTCATTGTAAAGCTCATATTTGAAATAGTAGACAAATTTATCAGACTTCCCTAAATTCAGAGAAACATTCAGAATATTTCAAAACAGCAGTCTTGGTACTCTTGACCCTGAAGGAAAATCTACAACACTAGAACTTTTTTGCTGGACCATCGATCGTTCTGTCACTCAAACATTGAGAATAGGATGGAAGTCTTTACACACTTTTACATGTTACAGGTTGAAAGAGACCTTACAGAGCATGTGAGGCTGACCCTCTTCAATCCTTATCATCACTCACTTCTGTGTAAATACCTCCAGGAGCCTGAATCTTACTACCTGTGCATCAGATTTCCTGCTTATCAGAAAAGCAAATAAGTAACTTTATATTTGTAACATAATATGTATATTATATATAGGGATATATATATATATATAATGCATAATATACATGGGGAATAATTATCAAAGTCACCATATGTAATGTTGAGACAGGTAGTAACTATGTTTATGTGATAGGTAAACATAATTTAGCTATTTACAGTATTTAGCTGTTTTTTGAACTATTTATTTATTGAACTATTATATACAAGGTACTACCTGAATGACAAATGGTTACTCAGGCCAACAGACCAATCATTTCCAGACTAAATTGACCAGCTGATTTAGAGCAAAATGGACTTCAGCACAGCAAGCCAGAGCCTCCCAGTCACTAGACCTCTGAATGAATTTCAGGTTTCCTCTATGATACAGCTACCAGGGTTCTTTGAACTGAATAGAACAACAGTAAGTTGTTTTAGCATTAAACAATCACAGACTGTTGGAAAAGGAAAGCCTTTTGAAATCTCCAATGGCTTCCGGCCTTTCTTTTTAATTTTTCAAATTTTTAGTTTAATTTTAATTTATACACCAAGATAGTGACAGAACTTCAGCCAAAATCCATAGCTCATAACCATCCAGCGCTCTTTGTTAGGTTACACATCTCTTGAATCTAATACAGCATTTCTCAGTCCTGGCTGCACATCAACCATACCAGGCTTTGAAAAATACGGATATGTGGTCCCGGGATTCCAGTATTTGTGGTTGGTAAACCCTTCAGGGATTATAATGTGTAATCAGGGAGCCACTTGTCTAATTCACTCTATCTCACTCTAATCACCTAATTTCAAGTACTGTTATATACATTATTTAATCCAAACGATCATGAATATGCCAAAGCCATAAAGTCAGGGACGTCTTTCTCCTCTGAGTATTCTCTCTCTATGGACAGTGTTCATTTCAGAAACCAGAATTTTATGCCCCTTACAATATGTATGTCCCTTTACATTTTATTTGTTCCTTTACATTTTGTTTGTCTTTACCCCAGTAACCCCCCCTTCAGCCTGATAACAACCCTTTTGCTTCCTCATTTCACTGAGGAGGAAACTAGGTCAGAGAGTAAGTGTCATGTCCACACCACCAGTCAGGCATCTGAGAAGCTGGGATTGGGACCCAGGCCTTAGATTCTGAGGGGCTTTTGTGTTTTTACTACACACTGAGTGCACTCAGCACCAGAGGAAACCTGTGACTACCTAAACCAGCCTTGATGCAGGGAGGATTCAAATGCCCACACTACAAGCTAACACCTAGTGGGTGCCGACCTCCAGCCAGGCTCTGCCCTGCTGTCCATGCCTTCACCCCCAGTACATGCTCTCAGCATCACTTCTAATGTACAGAAGAAAAAAGGGTATCTTAGGTTGAGCACTCGGCCACTGCCCAAGGACTGATATTAGGCACACACCTGCTAACTGCTCCACCAGGCCACCTGTCCACTGATATAAGGGCCCAGCTCTTCCCAGCTGCTGAGGCACTTGTTTTTTGGTGTTCTGTTTGTTAAAAACTTCTTCCCAGTGTTCGTGGTTTGCAAGTTCTTTTAACACGTGGGCAACTCTGCCTCTTATTTTGCAGCACAGGTCTTCCATCTGTTGCTAATTTTATTTCAAATAATATTGTGGCTGCCAAGAGATTTCAAGATACAATAAAATAAACCTCAACGTACTTCACAGAAATAATGTCTTTCTCTTGAGCTGCAAAATAGTTCTGATAAATCATGACATGCTGATTTATTCATTTTCTATTCTTTAGAAAAAGGCAAACATGGTAAGTCCTGCACCTTGAGCCCCTCTGAGATGCCAGTGAGCATGCATGGCAGGCTTTGTACCCTCTGTGCCCGCTCTTGGCAGCTACCCCTCAGTATACAATCTCGGTGTCTTTCTATCCCCACACTGTCTCCTGCTCTCTAGGGCTTCAGATTCTAGCAAGTTCATATTATGGAGACTAGAGGCGACTATCCTAGGTGGAGAAATGAAACCCAAAAACAGCTCATTTCCCAAAGCTCATTTGCCCTTAACTATAAGCACAAACAGGATCTATCATCTCCTGCAAGTCAAAAAGCAAGCATAGACCTTAAGTAGGTCTTCTGTTAATGCCAAAAGCTCCAATGATACATTTTTTAAAAAGATTATTAGACCACATAGTGAAGTTTCACGGGGTCTGCCACCTCACACTCACCATTTCTCCCAGTTGTGGAGTGAAAGCTGTTTGTAAGTTAATGGGGTTGAACCCATGGAGGAGTTGGGGATGCATTAAGCTCTGAGCCACCACTTAGGCAGAGCTTAGAGGCCAAGTGCACAGGCTCTGAGCTCAGACTTCTTGGGTCAAATCAGTTTTACCCCTTTCTGGCTGTGTTATCTAGGCCACACTACTTAAATGCTCTCTGTCTCAGTTTCCCATTCATAAAACATCAGTCCTGATAATACCTACCAAACAGGATTGAGATGCAGATTAAGTGGGTTAATAAAGGAGGACTTAGAACAGTACCTGATACATAGGAAGTACTCAGAAAGCCTCAGGTGTTACTATTATTATTGAAAATGTTCCTTCTCTCTGTATACCTCCTGTATAGCCTCTCTCAGGAGCAACAACTTAAGTGGAAAATAATTTGTTTTCTATCCGTCCAGACTCTGCCTCATCTTCTTCATTCCATCATTCAAAAGTATATTTGCTGAATATGTCTGCTCTGTGCCTTGGCCTGAATTTGTCCCTGGAGATACAATAAGACAAACATGCCCTCATGGAGCTGACATTCTACAGGGAAGATGGCAAAAATAGGTCACAGCTATGTGGTTATAGCTTAGTGAGTGACATCAAGGGAAATGCAAGGGGCTGAGACGGAGAAACCTAGGCAGAGACCTGTGAAGTGAACATTTAATCTGAGATGGATTTAGTCATGCAGGCATGCTGGAAAAGAGCATTCCACCCTGGCAAGGACTGAGATGTGTTCCCAGGACTGAGAGCCCCAGTGGCTGAATGGAA